AGCTGGAAATCGCACTGGCTGCAGTCACCATTCTCTGGCATCGCAGGCGCTTCCATGACAGCGATGATGTCCTGCAACTTCTCCACCCAGAGCGTCTGTCGAGCTCGTCCGGCTTGCCCTAGCCTGGTCTTTGAGAGGAGGTCCAGGCGTTGGCAGAGGCAACGGAACGACCACCACGCAGTGGTGAGGGGTGACGAACGTCGGCGTTGCTCGCGCTCCCACGCCGTTGCTAGCGGAACCCTCGACGTTCGGGGCCCTCGCGAACGCCCGCCGTAGGCAGCCCAATCGCGCTGCTCCACGCCGTGGAGGCCAACGAGGAACTCTTCAGACTTGTCGTACCACTCCAGGAGCTTGGCCACCAGCGGTACGTCACGACGCCCACCTCCCCCAGCATCGTCGGTGAGGTCCCATGCCCAGTCAGGGGGCAGATGCTCCAGATGCGGACCGTACGGCAGAGCAACCGCGAACCGTCGAAATCGAACCGGTTTGCTGATCCAAGTGCTCGGCCTCACCCCTTTCAGGTACAACATCACCGGGATGTGGGGCGACAGGGGTGCATCTGCTAAGGCACCGGCTTTTTCCACACATGTGGCCAACGTTTCTGCAATTACGAAGTAGTCGAGGACCCGACCCTCATCAGGGGCGCCATCCCCGCCGCGTCCAGAGGCGCACGTCGCCACGTCTGGGGCCACGATCACACCCTTCACCTCGGTCAGCCAACCCGTGCTGTCCAGCTCCTCAGGGGTCAAGTTGAAGTCGCCCTGGATGACCCATGGGGAGTCGCACTGGAGGATGCTTTCGCCGACCTGGTTCAACAAATCGATGTTCGGCTGGGTAGGGCCAGCACCGGAAACACCGTAGAACGTCACCAGCAGCAAGCCCGCAGGAAGTCCTGCACGAACTCGTCGGGCCTGTATCCTGTGCTCGTACCCCCGCAGGTCCACCAGAGGGGCTGGAAGGGAGGGCAGGCGCCCCTCCACAGCGAGCCATACGCCGCCTGAGTGCTCCAGGGCGCCTTCTCCCGTCCGGGCCGCTAGGCCAACCGAGGAAGAGTAGCCTCGCGCAACCATCGCACTTTGCGTGGCGACGGCCCGTGCATCACTGTGCAACCTGGTCTCCTGCAGGCTCGGGCTGGGGGTCTGTTCAGAGAGGCCGTAGTCGGACAGGCCTCCCTGAATAGCTTGGCGGCGGACCCAGTCGAGTAGGGGATCCGCCGTAGACCAAGCATTCACATTCGCTCCAAAGATCGTGAAGTCTGTGAGGAGCTCCCGGGGCCCTGGTTGAGGTCCAAGGGGTTCACCAGGTGGGGAGCTCCAGCGCGCTGATCTTGATGGGGATGATCTGGTACTGGTATGCAGGATCGGCACGCCCTGCCCGCACGCAGCGTTACCCGCGCAACCGGCCAGCAGGCTTCGACTTGCCGATGCTGCGGAAGACCCGGCCGGTCTTCTCATACAACCGTCTCGCCTTCTTCTTCCGCTCCTCCTGCCGCTGCCGCTTGACGTCGGGTTCCTCCTCAGCGTCTCCAGCTGGGTCGTCGACAAGAGAGAGGTAGGCTTCCTGGTCGTCCGCAGCCAACATGTCCCAGTCAGGGGCCGCGGAGGCGGCCTGCGATGCGGGTGCAGGTGCGCCATGTCCAACGGCTGGCCCAGCAGCCAATGTGCCAGCAGAAGCACCGCCGACATCACCAGGCGGATCGCTCCCGGCCGCCGCTGCCGCAAGCGCAGACGCCTTGTCCAAGGCAGGCCGGAAGGTCTGATCCAGGGCCACTCCGGCGACCTTCTGGACAGTTGGCGCAATTGGCCATGGCCTGGAAGCAGCCCAGCAGCGCTTCAAAGGCAGCGAACGCATCATTGGGGTTGGCGGAAATTTGCGGCGGCGCCGGAGCAGATTGGATGCTCTTGGCAACGACGTCGCGCTGCTTCTGGAGCTCCTTGTACTTCTCCTCGTTCTTGGCCACCTCCTGCCTCCTGGCCTCCACCTCCTCCAGGGTGTCAGCGATCCACTGCTTTTCCAACTCAACCTGGTCGCTGAGCTTGGACATCTGGGCCGCCAGGGTCCTGATCTGGGTGGCCGTGGGCTTCTCGGCGAGCAGTCTGGACTGCAGCTCCTTCTCGCGCGCCCGCCTCTTCGCCAGGATCGCTGCCACTTCAGGGTCGTCCGCCTCCGGCTCCAGACGCTTGATGCAGTCCCGGACCTTGGCGAGTTCCTCCTTGGTCGCACTTTTCTCCCCTTCCTCCATGTCTCCTCCACCTCCCACTGCTTCCTTCTCCTCTTTGAGTTGCTTCTGCAGCTTTGCGATGAGCACATCCTTCTCCTTGAGCTGCTCAGCGTGCTTCCTGTCCGGGGGGGGGCGTGTGCTGGGAGTGGACGCTTCGACTTTGCCGCCAAAGGCCCGGTCCTTGCCGATCTTGCAGCCAAGGCAGACCTTCTGGAAGCCCTTGTTGACAAAGGGCTTGGTCGGGTCGCGGCGGTCCACGCAGCCCAACTTGCACTTCCAGGCATCCTTGTCGGGCTCCGCTGGGGCCATCGAGCCGTGGTGGTTTGACAGCACGTGTTCGGCTAGGCTGAGCCTTCTGGCCCAACGTGGGGTGACTCGCCCTGCCCGCAGGTGTGGCAAGTCACGAGCGTCGGCACGTTGTAGGCGTGCCCAGTGGTGCCAAGCCGCTTCGGACGGCGTCTCGGCGATCGATGGGAGGTCCCAGTGCTGGTCTAGGCGCAGGATAGGGCTGATGTATGGTTGGATGATTCGCTTCAGAAAGCACCCCAAAGCCAATCGCAACCAGCGATTGCCCCCTGAGGTTGGCAAGGCGATAGGGGGATGGTGAGTAGATGCGCATGTGGGTCATAGTTGGCTTAACCCAGCTCACATGTGGAATGCAAGTGCCTTAAACAGTGGGCACATACCTGATCTAAGGGGGGGCGGAGCCACCTTAGTGGAGTTACCGAGTCCCTTGAAGCCACTTCGGGCATTCGTAACCACGTATGAGCTAGATCAGTTGTTATACCCTCCTATCCCCTTAAATTTCGCTGCGGCTGGCCCCATTGGCCCGCCAGGTGGCCAACGGCAGCCTTCCTGGCTGCTCTATAAAGGCGCGCTGGAGCAATTCTGGGTCGCCGCGCTAAGGGCTGGTAAGGCGTGGGGCGGTCCCAACACCCTGGCGCCGCCTCTGTCGGCGTCCCTAGGGAGCTCCGTGCCTCAGGTTGGGGCTGTTCGGTAGCAAAACATGGAAGCCTGGCGTACCCTGTTATTTCCGTCTTTAGCGTCGATTCGCATCGATTAGCGTCTGGGAGTCGATGATATAGCGCCGACTTCATGTCGATGAGCGCCGATTTAGCGTCGACTAACGTCGAATCGCAAGAGCTGAAAGATGGTATGGGAAGCTCCCATGAGATGCCACCGAAGAGTTGTCGAGACCGCCCCAGAGTCCTCGGGGGGCATGTTGAGGCCAGCTGGGGCCGCTCGGGGGGAACCGCACACGTGTTCTGTGTAATTTGGGCTATTCTTCTCGTGGCTTCGCCCTGCGCGCCCCTGGAGTTAGCCGGCCTGGTCTTCGCCTTCGATATTTCAACAGATGTGGGTACAAGAAAAATGGAATGGCACGATTGATGGGTTTGCTCCGCATGTGATTTCAAGAGTAGAATGGAGTTGTTCGCTCCGTAGCCTTTCTCTAACCGTCCACAGGCCCCGCCACCACCCTGTTTAAGTGGCTCCCCCAAAGTTTTGTGGTCTCCGAGGGCCCCCAGTGGCCTTGTAAATATGATCTGCGCTCCTCACCCTGGCACCACACAAGGTGGGCTATTCTTCTCGTGGCTTCGCCCTGCGCGCCCCTGGAGTTAGCCGGCCTGGTCTTCGCCTTCGAGATTTCAACAGATGTGGGTACAAGAAAGATGGAATGGTACGATTGATCCTCCTCCTCCTCCCCCTCCTCCCCCTCCTCTTCCTTCTCCTCCTCCTCCTCCTCCTCCTCCTCCTCCTCCTCCTCCTCCTCCTCCTCCTCCTCATCCTCCTTCCCTCGTCGAGCCCTTTTTTGTGTCTGCGCGTTTACGCACCCTCCTGTGCCTCGAGAACTGGTTCTTCATTCTCCCAGTGTCCCCCGTCCTTCTCGACATCGATTCGCTTCGCTCTTTGCTGGCCTCCCTCCTTGCCGCATGGCGCCGGGCTCTGCCAGATCGTGAACGGGGGGGGTCACCTACAGGCTAAGGGCCCCCAGCATGGGTGTCTCCTCGGATGCGATGTCCTCCATGACGTTGGCTGCCCACAGTTTGATGAGCTTCTGGTGCGGGTCTCGGGCTGCCCCGCTCCCTCGGACATGCTAGCTCGGCTGGCCTAAGGCGGCCGCTGCGTGGACCTAATCAGCTCGTCTGCTCCTGATGCGTTTCCAACTTCATCTTCACTTGCACCAGGTCCGGAAGCGCGTGCCTGACGTGGCGATGTCTGACCTGCAGGGTTTCGAGAGTTTCCAGTGCGCCCAAGCCGCTTGGGCGGCCTTGGACCTCCCGCGCGGCCGACGTGCTCTCGCCCGAGATGCACGTCTCGCAGGCGAACTCCCGCACAGCGCAGGGGTCTCATTTGTCATTTGGAAAAGATTTCTCGGGGATTCGCCCCCTCTTGCCTCCTCCTCCTCCTCCTCCTCCGCCCTCTTCCCCCTGTTTCCTCTCATCCTCCCTCCGCGTCCTCCTTACCTTGAAATCTGCGTCGGAGAAAAAAACACCGCCAGGATTTTGGCCATTCTCCGCATCGGGGGCCCTCGCAGGGCCCTCGGACCGTCAGTTGCTTTCCTCGTGACGAAAAGCTTTTCTCCTGGGGAAGAGGCGCAGATCTTTGGGCAGCCCGCGCCGTGTAAAGGGTCGCGCCGCCAGATGCCTGGGATCGGAGGAGCAGGAGGCAGGACTGCGACGAGGGCGTGGGCGAGGAGGAGGCTGGGTGAAAGGACGAACACGGGCAGGAAGGCGAGGAAGAGACTGAGCAGCTAGGGTGTCCTTGCGAGTGCCTCCAGCTCCCCGAGGACCCAGACGTGCGAACGGCGGTGCGCGTCAGCCCCCACGGGCCGAGGGACTTCTGGTCGTGGCAGCAGGCGGGCGCCAACTTCCGGCGCGCGGCGCTCATGTCGGCTGCCGCCAACGGGAGGGAGGTGAGGGAGCCGGTCGTGCTCCTCATCTGGACGAAGGATATCGAGGAACAAACTTTGCACAGACATGTGGGCGACGCCAAAAGGCGGGGCCGTCGGCGCCGGCACTGGCGCGAAGGCTGCCCGCGTAAGGTCGCGCGTGATTTGCCCTTGCTTCCAATGCAGCGTTCCCTCGCTGGCGGCCCGCGTAAGCTGTGGCGTAAGCTCGCTGCGTCATCAAGGGCGCCCTCGAGGGCGCGAAGTTATTCGCGCTTCGCGGTTCCGCTCCGATTCTTCCTCGTCCTCCTCGCCCCTGGGAGGCGGCGCGAGATCGCGAAGTTATTCGCACTTCGCGCTTCGCGCAGCGCGAAGCGCGAAGTTGGGAGCCCTTGGCCATCTCGCTGCGTCGTCGTCGCTCACGTGATCTCGACAGTCCGCGCGGAGTTTTCGCTCTGGGGCTGGGCCTCTCTCGCCTGGCGCGAGGGAGCCCGGCGCAGGTCCAGGGAATCATGGCTCCAGCGCAGAGGCAGCGCGGTGAACACCAGGGGCAAAGACAGGGGGGGATCTGCACAGGGGGGATGCCTCGGTGCTCGATCGCCCACTGAGCGCCGATAGGGGCCCGATAGACCGAGCCTCCCCAGGAACGTGCGGATCCACTATCGGGGGCCTATCGCCGATATAGCGGCGATGTATCACCGACTCCAGGTCGATGTGCCTCACGCCTTTGCCATTCCCTCCATTTTATCGCTGCACCTCAAGAAAGGCGCACGAGCACAATCTCTCGAAGGTCTGGCGGGATGTCTTGGATACGTGCTGGACACCCCGGCGCACTCCGCGCACCAGGTAGGGGTCCAGCCCCGATCCAGGATATTCGTGTGGATCGGGGAAGGTTCTGCTTACAGTGGAGGCAGGTATCAAGAAACCAAATGCTTTTCGCAAGGGTACCTTGGGCTTCTTCGATCCGCGCGCTGCGGGGCCACTTCCCGCGGCCGTTCAGAAGTTGCTGCGTTCAGGGATCAGTGCTCCAGGTTTCCCCATCAGGTGTACCTCCTGCGCGGGTTTTCAGGGTTGGGCGTCTTGCGATATGTTCTTGCGACCGTGCCCGCACTGTACGCTGTTTGATCGTCTTCTTCCAGGATCCGGGCTCATTGGCGAACACTGCTTGGTGGACAGCCACGGGCGCTTTTCTCGGCAGCATCGTGGTCGCGGCTCTATGGTGCACGCTCGGAACTTGGAAGTTATGGACGGACAGCAGGGATAGCGATCCAGATAGGAATTGAATCCAGTTGGTATGGTTGTTTCTTGTGTGAAGGTTATGTCGAACACAATCCTTCCCATCGCAGCCATCATTATCAGCATTGCTTTGATGAGTTGTATCTGCAGCCAGTGGCATTATGATTATAAAATCATGTAACGTGCACGTCCTAGGCCCGTCTGACGTTGGGCCTGTCTAGTTCTTGGTATTGTACTTTGAGTTTAGTGGTAAGAAGCTGCAGCACCTGCAACCCGCGTGATGGAAAGCGCATTCGTGAGCGATCCCCGCAGAAAGGCAGTGCCATGCGCAGTTGTCGTGCGCACGAAGTCGGTAAATGTCTCTTCCTTCGGGCCCTTCGCTTCCGCGGCCATGATGTTGCAGTGATATGCCAGGGGGACTGGGCCCCGGTCCATGGAAACGCAGGGGTTCTGTGGAATGCCGCGTGGTCGTGGTGGTTGCTCTCTTTCAAGCCCTCGGCCTGTGTGCGTATCCGGGCGCTCAGACTTTCTGCGATTTCTGCGCGCTTGCTCGGGCCTTTGGGGTTCTTCTGGCGGAGCGGTCTCTCTTGGGCGCTCAGGTTTGCGACCACAGGTGCGAAGCGGCATGCGCCACCGCTTGACCGCTTGCCCCCCCCCCGCCTCGTCGTGTTCTCCCCTCCACTTTCCAGCGCGCCCCACCCCGGAAGGTCGGCCTGATGTCTTCGCCCCGTCTCTGGTTGTCTTGGGGCCCTGCTGAGGGGGGTCTCCGAGAGTAGCAGGGCTCATTCACATACATGCTCACAGTCCTCCATCTGTTGCCTCCCCGAGTGCGCGCTTCTCTGCGCTCTACTCCCTTTCTCCTCTTCCTCCTCCACCCCGTTCTCGTGAGGGGTCCCTTCATCCTCGCCTTCCCTTTCGAAACGACAGGCGGCAGTCGAAACATGCGATCGACGCGCGGAGATGCAGCAGCGACCATATCGAGGATTGGGCCACCGCCAGGGGCGCGACGATGGTGGCGCCTTGCCTCCTCGCGAGGCCTCCGCGGGAGAGTTGCCCTTTTGCAGGGGTGGCCTCGCGACGGCCCTCCTCCTGCTCCTTCTCCTCCTGCTCCTCCTCCTCCTGCTCCTCCTCCTCCTCCTGCTCCTCCTCCTCCTCCTCATCTTCGATCCTCCTCCTCCTCCTCCTCCTCGATCCTCCTCGATCCCGCGCCTCCTCCCCGATCCCTTGGGCGGAGGGATGGCCCCGCGACGGCGCGAAGACCGCTGCGCGCCGCGCCTCGTGGGGTGCGCGGCGGGCGACGTGCGGAAGCCTGTGGTTATGATGCTCCCACCTGCAGTCTGCCTGGCCGCGACCACCAGGAAGAGTTCCGAGCACCGAGAAAGTGCCGAACCTGGGAGGCACTCGTTCGACACTGCCTCGACACTGTCTCGACACTTTTCCGGGTGCTCGAGATTGTTTCCCGGATGTGGTTTTTCAGTACGATGGGGACAACATAAATTTATGGTTACATCGGGCGCGTCCTTCTACGGGAGGAAAATTCACAAATAGTAAAAAGTTGTTTGGGGGCGATTCTTTATTTTTCGTCCAACGTCCGCCTGTAGGAGGACATGCCTGACCTGAACCATGGGGAAGAGGATCAGCGTTCTAAAGGTCGGCACCAGCCTCAGCATTCAGAGGAGGACAGGGTACCGATACCGCTTTCCTTCGCTCATTTTCCTTTCTGGGGGGCCTCCTGGGAGCCCTCGTCGCGACCGCTGGATTCGCTTCGAGATCCTGGTCAGAACGCACCCCGGGACAAGTCTGGGGAGTAGCGGCATCTGTACCTTTTGGTTTCCCCGTCAGTATCCGCGGTTGTCTTCACGAAGCGAAGATCATCATGAGTTTGGCGATGGTGGTCGTATTCGGGCTCAGGCGGCCGAGAAAGAGTACCGCCAGCGCCAGCAAATCCAGGACCACCTTCCCCCGGTAGAGGCACCTCCCTATGCTGGTGCTGGTGCCGACGTCCAGGCCCCCGAGAGGAGGCGAAGTGCACGGAGCGAAGAGCGGTTTGACCGCACCGAGGCCAGAAGTTCGGCTCGCTGCTCGTTGCAGCCGCTGGGCCCAGGCATCTGCGGGCACGGGAGCCTTGAGCAGAGACATGGAAATCAGTTGTTCCCAACCATCCTGTGGTGTTGGGTCCTCGTTTTGAAGAAACGGTCCCCGCGTTCTCCCCTCCTCCTCCTCTGCCCCCTCCCCCCCCTCCTCCCTCCTCCCTCCTCCCACCATCATGATCGTCATCATCCTCCATTTCGGCGCATCCCTTACACGCTTCGTGGCCCCATAGGGAGCCCCACCGAAGGCCCCAGTGGCTGCGTTCGCATGGCGGCACCGCGCCCATTTCGGCACACCCCTCACATGTTTCGTGGCCCCATAGGGAGCTCCACCGAAGGCCCCAGTGGCTGCGTTCGCATGGCGGCACCGCACCCATTTCGGCATACCCCTCACACGTTTCGTGGCCCCATAGGGAGCTCCACCGAGGGCCCCATTGGCTGCGTCCGCATGGCGGCACCGCGCCCATTTCGGCACACCCCTCACACGTTTCGTGGCCGCATAGAGAGCTCCACCGAAGGCCCCAATGGCTGCGTTCGCATGGCGGCACCGCATTCATTTCGGCACACCCCTCACACGTTTCGTGGCCCCATAGGGAGCTCCACCGAGGGCCCCAGTGGCTGCGTTCGCATGGCGGCACCGCACCCATTTCGGCACACCCCTCACACGTTTCGTGGCCCCATAAGGAGCTCCACCGAAGGCCCCAGTGGCTGCGTTCGCATGGCGGCACCGCACCCATTTCGGCACACCCCTCACACGTTTCGTGGCCCCTGAGGGAGCTCCACCGAAGGCCCCCGTGGCTGCGTTCGCATGGCGGCACCGCACCAATTTCGGCACACCCCTCACACGTTTCGTGGCCCCATAGGGAGGCCCACCGAGGGCTGCAGTGGCTGCGTTCGCATGGCGGCACCGCACCCATTTCGGCACACCCTCACCCGGTTCGTGGCCCCATAGGGAGCTCCACCGAGGGCCCCAGTGGCTGCGTTCGCATTGCGGCACCGCACCTATTTCGGCACACCCCTCACACGTTTCGTGGCCCATAGGGAGCTCCACCGTGGCCCCATAGGGCTCCACCGAGGGCCCCAGTGGCTGCGTCCGCATGGCGGCACCGCACCCATTTCGGCACACCCCTCACACGTTTCGTGGCCCCATAGGGAGCTCCACCGAAGGCCCCAGTGGCTGCGTTCGCATGGCGGCACCGCACCAATTTCGGCACACCCCTCACACGTTTCGTGGCCCCATAGGGAGCTCCACCGAGGGCCCCAGTGGCTGCGTTCGCATGGCGGCACCGCACCCATTTCGGCACACCCCTCACACGTTTCGTGGCCCCTTAGGGAGTCCCCTCTCATTCGTTCAACCTGCTTTGCGGTACTCGTAACTGCATATGGTTGGGCCCATCGCCAGGATAATGGTTTTCTGAGTTTGGACCGCACTTGCACCTTCGTGGCTCCTTCTCACCCGCCCTGTTCCCCCATATCCTCCTTCTCGGTCTTCTTGTTTGAGTTTCGGGCCCATAGTCGTGTCTTATACTATCTTATCTTCTCCTTCTCCCCCTCCCCCTCCTCTTCCTCCTTCTCCTCCTCCGCCTCCTCCTACTCCTCCGCCTCCTCCCCCTTCTCCTCCTCCTCGCCCACCCTGTTCCCCCATATCCCCATTCTCTGTCTTCTTGTCTCCTGGTGAAGGGCAGGTCCGGTCCAAACCCCGCGACCCACCCCGCGACCCGTCCGCCTCCCACCCGCGACCCAACCGCGACCCACCCCGCGATCCACCCGCGACCCAACCCGCGACCCACCCGCGAGCCATCGTTGACCCACCCGCGACCCACCCGCAACCCGCCCGCGAACCACCCCGCGACCCACCCGCGACCCGGCTCGCGACCTACCCGCGAGCCACCGTTGACCCACCCGCGACCCACCCACGACACATCCGCGACACACGCCGCTACTCTCACGCACATAGAATTTAAGGAAAAAATTGGCGCCTGCGGCGGGCTCGTTGTAGAATTTGTCAAAATTCTGCGCCTGCAGCGGGTTTTTTCAGACCCTCGCAGGCTGTAGACGTCCCCGCCGCCCCTTCTCTCTGATCCGCGACTGCGGGGTGCTACGCATGATGACGTTCATCCTGCCAAATTGCCTGGATCGTGGGTCGGAGTTATCAGGGATGTTCCCTGGGGTGTCTTCGGAGCGGCCCCGGGGGCCTTTTGAGAGCAGTTTGGGGGCCTCTTCGGAGCCTCCAGGGGAGGCCTCATACAGAAGGTTGGTTCGGTTTTTTGTTGCGACAGGAGCTGGGCAGGGCTAGATTGTTGGGCATTTCCTTCTGCGTGGGTTTCCAAGATGGGGGGGATGACTACGGGAGGGGTGGCTGGGGCGTGATATCTCCCTGGGTTTCACTGTGCCCTCGTCTTTCAATGCGCCCCCTGACCCGTCCCATGTCCGCGCACATGCCTCGGGCCACGATTTGTTCAACGCCTTCTTGGACCCCCCTGATCTATAGCCATTTTGGCTCAAGGCCATCCCGCGGGATGTGCACCAGGCCTCCAGGAGCGATCTCTGGCGCCACAGCCAGTTCCCTCCATCCGAAGAGCAAAAGATCGGCACCAACATACATGTTCGAAGGTCCCCGTCTCGAGGGGAGATCGATTCTATTCCTCGATCATCCGCCTCCTCGAACCTCCTCGCTCTTCCTGCTCTTCTCCTCGTCCCTGGATCCCCCCCTCCTCTCCTGGTGGTCGCACATCGAGGGGGGAAACGCACTGGCCATGACGAAGATGTCGCGGGATCTTGTCAACGACGATGTCGGTCATGGTCCATGCTGGCCGTCGCCGATATGCTTGTATTATCTACGAAGCGGCAGTGACCAAGATCTGGACGGGGCTGAGACGATGATAAATCCGTTCCAGAGCGTCCCAGAACGTTCTCAGAGCGTTCCAGAACGCTCAGAAGGCCGCGGCGCCAAATGC